TATTGCTTGCCCTGTTTCCATGAGGCAATAATAATTATATTATAATGTAATTTAATCTCCAGGGGGGGTAGATTGTTCTCATTCCACTGTCCATGTCTAGGCATATCTCATCTTGTTCTTATTTTCCACTGTCCACTACTGTTCATGAGGCAATAATATTATATTTATTGTAATTTAATCCCGGGGGTAGATTGTTCTCATTTTCCATGAGGCATATCTCATCTTGTTCTTATTTTACTACTGTTCAGTTATTATTATAATATATTATAATTAATCTCCGGGGGGGGTAGATTGTTCTCATTCCACTGTCCATGTCTAGGCATATCTCATCTTGTTCTTATTTTTACTACTGTTCAGTTATTGCTTGCCCTGTTTCCATGAGGCAATAATAATTATATTATAATGTAATTTAATCTCCACTGTCCATGAGGGGTAGATTGTTCTCATTTTAGTACTGTCCATGTCTGAGGCATATCTCATCTTGTTCTTCCACTGTCCATTTTATCTACTGTTCAGTTATTGTCCAGTTATTGCCCTGTTTCCATGAGGCAATAATAATTATATTATAATGTAATTTTAATCTCCAGGGGGGGTAGATTGTTCTCATTCCACTGTCCATGTCTAGGCATATCTCATCTTGTTCTTATTTTTACTGTTCAGTTATTGCTTGCCCTGTTTCCATGAGGCAATAATTATATTATAATGTAATTTAATCTATGGGGTAGATTGTTCTCATTCCACTGTCCATGTCTAGGCATATCTCATCTTGTTCTTATTTTACTACTGTTCAGTTATTGCTTGCCCTGTTTCCATGAGGCAATAATAATTATATTATAATGTAATTTAATCGGGGGGTAGATTGTTCTCATTCCACTGTCCATGTCTAGTTCATATCTCATCTTGTTCTTCTTTTTACTACTGTTCAGTTATTGCTTGCCCTGTTTCCATGAGGCAATAATAATTATATTATAATGTAATTTAATCTCCGGGGTAGATTGTTCTCATTCCACTGTCCATGTCTAGGCATATCTCATCTTGTTCTTATTTTACTACTGTTCAGTTATTGCTTGCCCTGTTTCCATGAGGCAATAATAATTATATTATAATGTAATTTAATCTCCGGGGGTAGATTGTTCTCATTCCACTGTCCATGTCTAGGCATATCTCATCTTGTTCTTATTTTACTACTGTTCAGTTATTGCTTGCCCTGTTTCCATGAGCAATAATAAATAATAATTATATTATAATGTAATTTAATCTATGGGGGTAGATTGTTCTCATTCCACTGTCCATGTCTCCAGGCATATCTCATCTTGTTCTTATTTTACTACTGTTCAGTTATTGCTTGCCCTGTTTCCATGAGGCAATAATAATTATATTATAATGTAATTTAATCTATGGGGGTAGATTGTTCTCATTCCACTGTCCATGTTTAGGGATATCTCATCTTGTTCTTATTTTACTACTGTTCAGTGATTGCTTGCCCTGTTTCCATGAGGCAATAATAATTATATTATAATGTAATTTAATCTACGGGGGTAGATTGTTCTCATTCCACTGTCCATGTCTAGGCATATCTCATCTTGTTCTTATTTTACTACTGTTCAGTGATTGCTTTCCCTGTTTCCATGAGGCAATAATAATTATATTATAATGTAATTTAATCTCCGGGGGGTAGATTCTTCTCATTCCACTGTCCATGTCTAGGCATATCTCATCTTGTTCTTATTTTACTACTGTTCAGTTATTGCTTGCCCTGTTTCCATGAGGCAATAATAATTATATTATAATGTAATTTAATCTATGGGGGTAGATTGTTCTCATTCCACTGTCCATGTCTAGGCATATCTCATCTTGTTCTTCTTTTTACTACTGTTCAGTTATTGCTTGCCCTGTTTCCATGAGGCAATAATAATTATATTATAATGTAATTTAATTTAATTGTTCTCATTCACTGGGGCATAGATCTTGTTCTTTTATTTTCACTGTTCCATTGTCCATGTTTCATGAGGCAATATAATTCATATTGTTCGGGGGGAGTAGATTTTATTCCACTGTCCATGTCAGGCATATCTCATCTTGTTCTTATTTTACTACTGTTCCTTGCCCTGTTTCCATGAGGCAATAATAATTATATTATAATGTAATTTAATCTCCATGTCTAGGGGGTAGATTGTTCTCATTCCACTGTCCATGTCTAGGCATATCTCATCTTGTTCTTATTTTACTACTGTTCAGTTATTGCTTGCCCTGTTTCCATGAGGCAATAATAATTATATTATAATGTAATTTAATCTCCGGGGGGATTGTTCTCATTCACTGTCCATGTCTAGGCATATCTCATCTTGTTCTTATTTTACTACTGTTCAGTTATTGTTCCCTGTTTCCATTACAATGTAATTATATTATAATGTAATTTAATCTCCGGGGGGTAGATTGTTCTCATTCCACTGTCCATGTCTAGGCATATCTCATCTTGTTCTTATTTTATACTGTTCAGTTATGTTTCCATGAGGCAATAATAATTATATTATAATGTAATTTAATCTATGGGGGTAGATTGTTCTCATTCCACTGTCCATGTCTAGGCATATCTCATCTTGTTCTTATTTTACTACTGTTCAGTTATTGCTTGCCCTGTTTCCATGAGGCAATAATAATTATATTATAATGTAATTTAATCTCCGGGGGGTAGATTGTTCTCATTCCACTGTCCATGTCTAGGCATATCTCATCTTGTTCTTATTTTACTACTGTTCAGTTATTGCTTGCCCTGTTTCCATGAGGCAATAATAATTATATTATAATGTAATTTAATCTATGGGGTAGATTGTTCTCATTCCACTGTCCATGTCTAGGCATATCTCATCTTGTTCTTATTTTACTACTGTTCAGTTATTGCTTGCCCTGTTTCCATGAGGCAATAATAATTATATTATAATGTAATTTAATCTATGGGGGTAGATTGTTCTCATTCCACTGTCCTGTCCATGTTTCCATGAGGCATATCTCATCTTGTTCTTATTTTATCTCATCTTGTTCTTATTTTATTGTTCAGTTATTGCCCTGTTTCCATGAGGCAATAATAATTATATTATAATGTAATTTAATCTATGGGGTAGATTGTTCTCATTCCACTGTCCATGTCTAGGCATATCTCATCTTGTTCTTATTTTACTACTGTTCAGTTATTGCTTGCCCTGTTTCCATGAGGCAATAATAATTATATTATAATGTAATTTAATCTATGGGGTAGATTGTTCTCATTCCACTGTCCATGTCTAGGCATATCTCATCTTGTTCTTATTTTACTACTGTTCAGTTATTGCTTGCCCTGTTTCCATGAGGCAATAATAATTATATTATAATGTAATTTAATCTATGGGGGTAGATTGTTCTCATTCCACTGTCCATGTCTAGGCATATCTCATCTTGTTCTTATTTTACTACTGTTCAGTTATTGCTTGCCCTGTTTCCATGAGGCAATAATAATAATTATAATGTAATTTAATCTCGGGGGGTAGATTGTTTCATTCCACTGTCCATGTCTAGGCATATCTCATCTTTGTTCCTACTGTTCCATTGTGCCCTGTTTCCATGAGGCAATAATAATTATATTATAATGTAATTTAATCTAGATTGTTCCTTCCATTTTATCTCACTTGTGGGCATTCTTATGTTCACTGTTCAGTTATTGCTTGCCCTGTTTCCATGAGGCAATAATAATTATATTATAATGTAATTTAATCTCCATGGGGGGTAGATTGTTCTCATTCCACTGTCCATGTCTAGGCATCATCTTGTTCATCTTGTTCTTATTTTACTACTGTTCAGTTATTGTAATTTTGCCCTGTTTCATTCCATGAGGCAATAATCTTATATTATAATGTAATTTAATCTATGGGGGTAAGATTGTTCTCATTCCACTGTCCATGTCTAGGCATATCTCATCTTGTTCTTATTTTACTACTGTTCAGTTATTGCTTGCCCTGTTTCCATGAGGCAATAATAATTATATTATAATGTAATTTAATCTCCGGGGGGTAGATTGTTCTCATTCCACTGTCCATGTCTAGGCATATCTCATCTTGTTCTCTTTTTAGTACTGTTCAGTTATTGCTTGCCCTGTTTCCATGAGGCAATAATAATTATATTATAATGTAATTTAATCTCCGGGGGGGGGGTAGATTGTTCTCATTCCACTGTCCATGTCTAGGCATATCTCATCTTGTTCTCTTTTAGTACTGTTCAGTTATTGCTTGCCCTGTTTCCATGAGGCAATAATAATTATATTATAATGTAATTTAATCTCCGGGGGTAGATTGTTCTCATCTTTCCACTGTTCCATGTCTGTTTAGGCAATAATAATTATATATCTCATCTTGTTCTTACTGTTTCTAGGGGCATATCTCATCTTGTTCAGTTGTTGCTTGCCCTGTTTCCATGAGGCAATAATAATTATATTATAATGTAATTTAATCGGGGGGGGGTAGATTGTTCTCATTCCACTGTCCATGTCTAGGCATATCTCATCTTGTTCTTATTTTACTACTGTTCAGTTATTGCTTGCCCTGTTTCCATGAGGCAATAATAATTATATTATAATGTAATTTAATCTCCGGGGTGGGGGGTAGATTGTTCTCATTCCACTGTCCATGTCTAGGCATATCTCATCTTGTTCTTATTTTACTACTGTTCAGTGATTGCTTGCCCTGTTTCCATGAGGCAATAATAATTATATTATAATGTAATTTAATCTATGGGGGTATATTCTTCTCATTCCACTGTCCATGTCTAGAGATATCCTGTCCTATTTTAGATGTTTGCCCTTTTTCATTGTGCTAACTGACCCAAAGATTTAACTCACAATTAATATATAGGTTAAATAAGTGGTTTAGTTTGAAATCTGTAGTTTACCCAAATCACTTTATACTTGAAGAAGGCCAAAGATCCTGTAGGCCAAAATGTTGCATTCATTTTGTTTCTTTTTTCTTTTTCAGCTCTTGGCAAAGCAAGATTAAATACAATCATCAAAAGTTTAATGCTGAGGAGGACAAAAACACAAACGTTTCAAGGGAAACCCTTGGTGAGTTACCGAGACTGGCTGGTTTGATTTTGATTATCATAATGTTTATGGTAAATTTGCTTTTTAACAACTTTGCTCTAAATATTTCTTAAAATTTTCCAAAATTGTCATAATTCCATGTAAACATACATGCTGAACTTGAATTAACAATTAAATTATGAAGAAACTTACCGTTTTGGAGTTATCGACAAGAAAAAATCGGACTTCTTGTTGGTCATTCATCCACCATTACTGCCGTAATATTCACTATGGAGTACTTTCATTGGTGTAAACATAAATTTTGGCCTATTTACTTCCTTTACAGAATTTTGTTGCAGAAATCAATACGCACTACCATAAAACAATGTAATGGGGGGGGGTAAGTGTAGTTTTACTTTTTTTCTTGTCGATAGCTCCCAAACGGTACGTTTCTTCATAATCTTAAAAATTAAAAGTTAAAAATGACAATAGGAAAACTAGTAATTGCTGACGGGTTTTGTCCAATGTGTACTTTATCAAAGCAAAATACGAAATGAATATAATTTAACAAGGTAACTAATACAAACAAAAACAGAATGTTACTAGCAACTGAAATGTGGAGAAACGCTATTTTCATATTGTTAACTGTTAATTCCCCTCTCCAAGTTCTCCACTGCCTTAACCAGGTATTGAACTCACACTCTTTGGGTCCTGTCACTGTATATTAGAAACTTCGACAATATTAATTCATAATTCAATACAACTTTGTAAAAATTTGGAATTTAACAAAGAATGTTGAATACAATTATATGAAAAATAGTTTAATATTCATTTATTCAACTCTATTATATTATTCGAACTATTGTCCTCATCTTTGTCGCCATATTTATTACAACGTTCCGGGCATTCAGTATCTGTCTATATTTCTGAGATGAGGTATTATGTACACTATTTACATTATTCGGACTATTGTCCTCATCTTTGTCGCCATATTTATTACAACGTTCCGGTCATTCAGTATCTGTCTATATTTCTGAGATGAGGTATTATGTACACTATTTACATTATTCAGACTATTGTCCTCATCTTTGTCGCCATATTTATTACAACGTTCCGGTCATTCAGTATCTGTCTATATTTCTGAGATGAGGTATTATGTACACTATTTACATTATTCGGACTATTGCCCTCATCTTAGTCGCCATATTTATTACAACGTTCCGGTCATTCAGTATCTGTCTATATTTGTGAGATGAGGTATTATGTACACTATTTACATTATTCAGACTATTGTCCTCATCTTTGTCGCCATATTTATTACAACGTTCCGGTCATTCAGTATCTGTCTATATTTCTGAGATGAGGTATTATGTACACTATTTACATTATTCGGACTATTGTCCTCATCTTAGTCGCCATATTTATTACAACGTTCCGGTCATTCAGTATCTGTCTATATTTCTGAGATGAGGTATTATGTACACTATTTACATTATTCAGACTATTGTCCTCATCTTTGTCGCCATATTTATTACAACATTCCGGTCATTCAGTATCTGTCTATATTTCTGAGATGAGGTATTATGTACACTATTTACATTATTCGGACTATTGTCCTCATCTTAGTCGCCATATTTATTACAACGTTCCGGTCATTCAGTATCTGTCTATATTTCTGAGATGAGGTATTATGTACACTATTTACATTATTCAGACTATTGTCCTCATCTTTGTCGCCATATTTATTACAACGTTCCGGTCATTCAGTATCTGTCTATATTTCTGAGATGAGGTATTATGTACACTATTTACATTATTCAGACTATTGTCCTCATCTTTGTCGCCATATTTATTACAACATTCCGGTCATTCAGTATCTGTCTATATTTCTGAGATGAGGTATTATGTACACTATTTACATTATTCAGACTATTGTCCTCATCTTTGTCGCCATATTTATTACAACGTTCCGGTCATTCAGTATCTGTCTTTATTTCTGAGATGAGGTATTATGTACACTATTTACATTATTCAGACTATTGTCCTCATCTTTGTCGCCATATTTATTACAACGTTCCGGTCATTCAGTATCTGTCTATATTTCTGAGATGAGGTATTATGTACACTATTTACATTATTCAGACTATTGTCCTCATCTTTTGTCGCCATATTTATTACAACGTTCGGTCATTCAGTATCTGTCTATATTTCTGAGATGAGGTATTATGTACACTATTTACATTATTCAGACTATTGTCCTCATCTTTGTCGCCATATTTATTACAACGTTCGGTCATTCAGTATCTGTCTATATTTCTGAGATGAGGTATTATGTACACTATTTACATTATTCAGACTATTGTCCTCATCTTTGTCGCCATATTTATTACAACGTTCGGTCATTCAGTATCTGTCTATATTTCTGAGATGAGGTATTATGTACACTATTTACATTATTCAGACTATTGTCCTCATCTTTGTCGCCATATTTATTACAACGTTCCGGTCATTCAGTATCTGTCTATATTTCTGAGATGAGGTATTATGTACACTATTTACATTATTCAGACTATTGTCCTCATCTTTGTCACCATGTTTATCACAATGTTTCGGCTGTTGTATGCTCTGGCCTTCTTCAGGTGGTTGGAATGTCGAAACTTCTTCATCTCAGAAATACAGACAGGTACTCATTTATTCAAATAAAGGAAAAATTTTAAAAGTTAACCTTTTGAGCCCTGACCACTGTTTTACTAGTGGTAGAGAAAAATGATGTAATACCCAGCCACCAGTTGAACAGTGGTAGAGAAAAATGACTTAATACCCAGCCACCAGTTGAACGGTGGTAGAGAAAAAATGGTGTAATACCCAGCCACCAGTTGAACAGTGGTAGAGAAAAATGAAAAACCAGTTGAACAGTGGTGAGAAAAATGATGTAATACCCAGCCACCAGTTGAACAGTGGTAGAGAAAAAATGATGTAATACCCAGCCACCAGTTGAACAGTGGTAGAGAAAAATGATGTAATACCCAGCCACCAGTTGAACAGTGGTTGAGAAAAAATGATGTAATACCCAGCCACCAGTTGAACAGTGGTTGAGAAAAATGATGTAATACCCAGCCACCAGTTGAACAGTGGTTGAGAAAAATGATGTAATACCCAGCCACCAGTTGAACAGTGGTTGAGAAAAATGATGTAATACCCAGCCACCAGTTGAACAGTGGTTGAGAAAAAATGATGTAATACCCAGCCACCAGTTGAACAGTGGTTGAGAAAAAATGATGTAATACCCAGCCACCAGTTGAACAGTGGTTGAGAAAAAATGATGTAATACCCAGCCACCAGTTGAACAGTGGTTGAGAAAAATGATGTAATACCCAGCCACCAGTTGAACAGTGGTAGAGAAAAATGACTTAATGCCCAGTCACCGGTTAAACGGTGGGTAAAAACTTCTCTAACTATTTTTATATCTACCGTGAAATATTACATACCAATTATTTGTGAATTTTGATTCAGGAGCTCAGGCAGAAGGGTTAAAATTGTTTAGAAACACAGGACTCAAAGGATTAAATTAAAAAAAGAATAAAAATACTTTTTAAAAAATGAATATTAAAACAAAGGATTTAACATAACATAAAGAATAGTGAAAAGAATTATTTGAAAAAAGAGTTTAATACTTATTCATTTATTCAAATACTTACACAGTACCATTGCTACTTCCACATAGGCATATATATATATATATATGTATGACATAACATTTTTATTTTGTGGCACACTAGCGTTCCACAGCAAGCAGTTGAGAATCGCTGATTTAATCTATCTTGTTGGTTTACTATCTAGTAGTAGTAGATATAATAGTCTTTAAATTATTTGAATTTTTCTATAGTTCAAAACTGAAATGTAAAGCTTAGATTCAGCTGGGTTTCTCTAAACTTTGGTCTCAGTGGGGACGTAATAAATTTACATCTTCTCATCTATTCTGCTGTCCTCCATACCTTTTACTCTGTGCTTACGATCACATCTCGTTGAAACTTCACTTCCTGTACAATCACCTAAGTTAAGCATTATTGAACCTGGTCAGTACAGTGATGGGTGACCACTTGGGAATACCAAATGCTGTAAGCTTGGAAGTGCAGGTGATGTAGTGGATAATAGCTCAGAATTGTTGATCAGAGAGCCGAGTTTCAATTCCCATTGGGTTCATTATACCCTTGGGAAAGGTATAAATCCACCTCTTCTCTCCCCAGCTATGGATTAATTAGTCTTGTCACTAAAACATTATTATCTCCAAAAATAGAGTACAAAATATTTAGATTTTGGCATTAATTAATAATCCATAGAGGTTGATACACTGTTAAACAAAAACAACCAAGCAACCTTTTATTTTGTCTTTCTTAATTCTCCATTTCTCTCCTTAATAATTTTGTTATTTTTTTGTTTTCACATTTCAGGTCAATTTGTCTAAGAAAGAACTCTTTTGGAATAAACTGACTCTCTCGAAGGCAGAAAGAAACCTCTACAATAAAATCTACAAAAAGACACAGTAAGTGCTTTCATATTTTCAAAGAAATGTTTCCAAATACAAATACCATATCAGTTTTTGGTGATTTATTGTCTATATTTTAGAACCAATCAATGTTTTAAATCTGTCTATATTTGTGAAATGAGGTATTATGTACACTATTTACATTATTCAGACTATTGTCCTCATCTTTGTCACCATATTTATTACAACTTTTCGGCTATTGTATGCTCCGGCCTTCTTCAGGTGGTTAAAATGTCAAACTGAACCCTTTATTTCGCTCACTGGGGGAGACTGTTCTAGTTCCACGTGCTATGTTTTAATGGATGTCAGTTATCTCCTGTTAATTCCCCTCTCCAAGTTCTCCACTGCCTTAACCGAGTATTGAACTCACACTCTTTGGGTCCTGTCACTGGATCTAACTAATGCCTTTATCCTCAAGGACACATGGCACAGTGGATAAAGGCATTAATTAGATCCAGTGACAGGACCCAATGAGTGTGAGTTCAATACCCGGTTAAGGCAGTAGAGAACTTGGAGAGGGGAATTAACAGGAGATAACTGATAACTGACACCCATTAAACATGGCATGTGGAAGTAGAACAGTCTACCCCAGTGAGCAAAATAAATGGTTAAGTTCGACATTCCAACCACCTGAAGAAGGCCGGAGCATACAACAGCCGAAATGTAATAAATATGGCGGCAAAGATGAGGACAATAGTCCAAATAATGTAAATCATGTACAATGTTTTAAAGTCTAAGGATTCTTTTCACAGCAGATGTGTATAGTTGACACTAAAACAAAAATCTTTTTTTCATGTTACTATATATTAAGCACTCCAGATTACAAAAAAAAAAAGAAATTTTATAAAAGTTAATAAGGGGTTCTATTTTTCTTTTTAAACTCATTATAAATTGATTCCCTTATGGAAGAGATATGCACTTGTGTTGTTAAAGAATAATAATTTTTTTTTAAATTCATAATCCCGAGTGTTTAATTGATAGCAATATATGAAAAAGAGCTGTACAATTAGGAAATTCAAAGCTTTATATGCTTATACCATGTGATATCCTAAAATGCAAATTTTAAGAAATCACATGGTTTCTTGCTAACATTTTTCTTTTCTTGCACTTCTTGTTTGTGGAACTCTCTTTTGGCTTCTTGCTTTCCAGCCAAATTTGATCTTCAAAAATTTAAGTGCAATGTCAATTGTTATTTTTTTGTCTTGATTACTCTTCTATTCTTCTCACTTCATAATGTTTCCCTTTTCTCTTGTTCTTCCACCATTATGTGTCTTGTGGCTTTACTGCCTTACATGGGGTGATATGATTAAACAAAAACTGAATCCCGACCTATTTCATAAATTCAATAAACATTCATGATCTAAAGAGCTTAATCTAAGACAATGTGAAAAAAATTTGAATGATTGTTTCCTGGTCGCCGGTTCTACAACGTCACCCTTTCCGCATATGACATTTTAGTTATGACTCTTTATAATGAATTTTACAAGGAAGCATTTGGAATTCTGGAAGGAAGTTCAACAGGTAGGAAACGCGAGAAAGGAACTGTTGGAGTAGAAGTGGTGATTGCATTTAATCAAAAGTAAAAGGGTGGGACCTAGATGCCAATCTAGTAGCACACTTAAATTCATTTTGTCACAAATATCTTTTTTTAAAGTTTTATATTTAGTTTTAATTACAAGAAAACAGCATGAATTGCAAGTTAATTTTGTATACTTAAAAATTTACCATTATACCAGGATACATATTTCATAGTTAAATCTGATTTATCAACAATTTCTTTTATCAACAAAATCTTCTTGTAGCTGTATAATGTCTTTCAGATTGCAATGTCTAAGAATTTGATGCCATTGCATTTGGCTACATGTAGCAGTCTTGGAGATTACTGCAGTATTTAAATAATATTAGCACCCATTTCTTTTTTTGTCAAATTTTACACCATTAGGGTAGATAATTTAGAATAATTATGATTTTAATTTTACAGAAGCTCCTTTTTAGGTAGCAGCTTGCACCAAGAATATACTTTGTTTGAATGTAAGAACATATAGAGCATTCGTTAAAATGTATTCTCATATATTTCCTTCCATATCAGTTATAATGATTTTGGACATCGCCTCTTTTTAAAGCAATATTACTGGTTTGAATATCATCTGTCAGTTCAATATGATGATTTTCTAGATTAAAATCTTTATCAAAAGTAAGAATTTTAGATTCGTCAGTAATCACATGCATGGTAGTACCACCATTGACAAGTAAAATCTTTTTGTTGAAAATGGTGTCTAGTCCAATTGAAAAGAGAAATGAATGTTCATTCTCTGAACCGTTACATATTTTTTATGAAATGTTCTTGCTTTTTATTTCTGTATTCGGTACTTTTATGTCCAAGTTTTTGACAAACATGGCATATAATATTTTTGTTTGGTGGATTGGAATTATAGTGTTTTGGGGTCAGGGGGAATTATTTAATGGTAATTCCGAAATTTACTTTAGCAATCAGGGTTTTTATGTCCAAGTTTTGTGACAAACATGGCATATAATATTTTTGTTTGATGGATTGGAATTATAGTGTTTTGGGGGCAGGGGGAATTATTTACTGGGTAATTCTGAAATTTACTTTAGCAATCAGGGTTTTTATGTCCAAGTTGGGCACAAGTAAAACGGGGGAATATTAGTTTGTGGCTTTGGTCTTGGCATTCAGAGAGTCATTACAGTATTTTCACTGTTATTCTCCAGAATCATCTTTTCCATTTCTTTGAAGCTTTGCAATGCTACTTTGAATTCACTAAACATTAGTAGTTTGTCTTGCTGAGTAATAATAGTTATAAATGGCTTGAAATTGGGAGGGAGGCCTTTTAGGACCATGGCTACTAGTAAAGTGTATAATCAGTAATAGTTTCAGCACTGGCTTTTCATGGGGATGTTAATTCCATATACAGGGAAATTATTTTTGGTGTTCCTTTAGATAAAAAAAATTGCAGTGCTTTCCTCCCATTGTCAAGGGCTTCTCTCGTAGTAAGGGACAGACTTCAGTCATCAAGAAACTGAATTAATTGGCAAATGAATTTCCATTCTTTTTACAGTAGTCTTTCTCATTGCGGCTATCAATAGGTGTCAAGATTGTTTCATATAATTTTTGGATTCGCATATAAGCCCAAAATTTTACTTCCCATAGTTTATATTTTGATTTGTCACTGTTGAAGCAGAGACTATTCCTGGGCCCATAATCTAATGAATTAGTAGCCTTGGTTAAAATGCAAAATAAATAACACAACTGTCCGACAAACAGAATTAACAAAGTTTGCAATAAAAAGAAAAAAGGGCAAAAATGAAATAGTATCATGCAAATAATATATGTAAAGCAATTTCACAAGTAAGAAGGCAAAAGTTTATAAACTATGAATTGGCATCTATGCACAAAAGCAAGGTCAGGTAAGCAAACACAAGTGGTCTAAGTCAAATCAAATTGTAAACTGACCTATTTTATTGGATAAGAAAAATATCCCAGCATGCATTTGTGGACTTCTGTCTATAAAAGGGGAAGGGTAAAAGTTTTGCAGTTATTCCTATATGGAGTGAAATCAACAGTTTTGGAAAAGTTTCAGTCCTATTTCTTGGAAGACTTGATAGAGGATTCTGATTTGTGGCTCAAAGTCATTGTTAACCCAACTATGAATACCTATGTCATCAGCATAGACCATAGACCCCATCATCATCAGTACATTAGTCATGGGAAGGGAAACAAGATAATATGTTGCAAAATTTCTAGTAGCGATAAAGATAAAATTTGTCCCAAATCCGAATGCAAATAAATTGGTGTTGAGGCTTCTTTTTTTTTTTCTTTTTTTTTTTTCTCATTGCAGATCAATTGTTAGAAATTATATTCAAAGACATGAAGATAAAGAAATGACTGGTGCTACAGGTGGTGAAAAATACTTGTCATCAGAATCCAAGTGCAATCCTTTCCAGGCAGGTTCATCCCAAGGATCAAGCTCTGACCAACAAGCAACAAATGCACCCAGAAGTGGCAAAGACATTTTGGTATTCTTACTTCGTCTCAGGCAATGTTGTTGCCATCCAGGCCTGCTTAAAGAGGTACGGCTCACTTGGTTGTGCGAGCTCCTATGTTACTTCCTTAGGCATCTAAAACATACAATGTGTGCGTGCGTGCGCGCGTGTGTGTGTGTGACAAGCATTTTGAATCCACATAGACACACATGTGTGAGATCACCAAAAAAAGTTCAATGTGCAAACTGTCCATCTCTATATTGTGGGCTATGGCAATCAATTTAATCATTTCCATTAGGACTATTCTATCAATAACACTGTAACTCAGCCTATATGTTGTTCAATGTAAGTTAGAAAAGGCTTGTTAGTGGTCAGGAATTAATTCAAGCATTACTTATAGAATAGCGCTATAATATTTATAATGGAAATGCATTGCTAATGATTTTACTATAGGAATGCATTGCAAATAAGGTAGAAATGGATTGTCAGTGGTCAGGAATGAATGCAAGTGTTATTGACATGATTATTCAGTATATTGTTATTATTGTGTCTTACCAGCTTTTTATAATGAGATAGCAACAATGTAAGAAAATTAAAATATATCTCTTTCAAAATTGGAATCTTTTTAACTCAAAACATTTTATAATTTTAAACTGGCTTTTTTATGTATGAATTTTTTTACATGAAAATGTATTTAACTTATTGATCAAGAAAAGAATGGATTTTTTTCTTTCTGGCTTGGGATAAACTTGGGGTGGGGTGTGATTGATAAAAATATTCCAATATCTCATTTCCATCTTTTGTTGTTCTTATTAAGAGGGAAACTGATGATGAAAGTCTTGATTTGGATTTGGAAGATCAAATGAAGGACCTGTTGTTGAACAATGCAGACCCCAGTGAAGAGGACAAAACTTCTGTGGAAGATATTTTTCAGCCCAGTACAAAAAGCACAAAGGTTTCAAAAGAAATTTTTACTCTTTTCTTCTTTCTTGACATTTGCTTTTCTACCAATACATTTTGCATATAAGATATATATGGTTACTTTTTAATATTTTATTAACTGACATTCATTAAAAATAAAATTTGAATTTATTAGATTCATTATAATCACGTATAATGTCTAAGAACTTTATAATGTCATTGCCATCATCTATTATATCAAAGGACTTTATAATGTCATTATCAACCACGTGCCTTCCATCCTCCTCATCCCCTGTCCGTGCCTTCCTTCCACCTCATTCCCTCCCCTGTGCCTTCCTCCTCGTTACCTCCCTGTTCATTCCTTCCGCCTTGTCCCCCCAATATCATCTATTATAGCAAAGGACTTTATAATGTTTCCATTCATATCTTGAAACAGTTACCCTGTCATTATCATCATCTTATGTCATCATCAGGAGTACAGGAAACAAATTCCTAATGTCTAAAATGTTCCAGCTTTAAGTAACCCACAAAGGTTTGATAAGCCATAAAGATCAATCCTCCATGTCTTCCTTCCTCCTCGTCCCCCCACGTGCCTTCCTTCCTCCTCGTCCCCCCCCCCACGTGCCTTCCTTCCTCCTCGTCCCCCCCCACGTGCCCTCCTTCCTCCTCGTCCCCCTCCCCGTGACTTCCTTCTTCCTCATCTTCCTTCCTCCTTATTCCTTGCCCCGTGCCTTCCTTCCTCCTCATCCCCTCCCGTGCCTTCCTTCCTCCCCTCCTCGTCCCCCCTCCCCGTGCCTTCCTCCCTCCTCGTCCCCCTCCCCGTGCCTTCCTCCCTCCCTCCTCGTCCCCTCCCCGTGCCTTCCTTCCTCCCTCCTCGTCCCCCTCCCTGTGCCTTCCTTCCTCCCTCCTCGTCCCCCCCCGTGCCTTCCTTCCTACCTTCTCGTGCCTTCCTTCCTCCCTCCTCGTCCCCCTCCCCAGGCCTCCCCCTCCTCCCCCCCTCCCCAGGCCTCCTCCCTCCTCGTCCCCCCTCCCCATGCCTTCCTTCCTCCTTATCTTCCTTCCTCCTATCCCTGTCTCTTCTGTCTACTATCTCCTCTTTCCTCCTCATCCTTTTCCTTGAATTTCAAAGCTGAAATATTTTTCTTTATCTCTTTAGATTGGAGCTCTTTTGGAAAATTTGCTCAACATCCGAAAGACAGAAAATGCGAAATGGTATTATTGTCTTTTATCATTAGATGCCCACATCATTTGTCATAGGTTGCCATTGAATGTTACTAATTATTGCTTGGTGTTACCATTGAATGGTACAATTTAGTGTCCTTCTTATATTACCATTGAATGGTCTTCTATAAATAATAATATCTTGTAAACAAATCTTTTACTAACAATTATAACTGTATTTAATAATTTTAGTTTGGTATGTTGCAAAGCAAAATGTGTGGCGTTCCCAGTGAGGCTCAAATTTTCAAGACCATCCTGCTAAACATAGCTGTAATTGTTTACACACACTGTAATGAATTCTATTTTGCGTTGGCCCACAATACCAGAGGCATAACAGTAGATATTAAACCGTCCTGTAAATAAACAATTATTTATTTCTTGCTGTATTGCAGACTGGCAAAATAGCATCTGGCACAAAACAGAGATGTGGCATTGAATTTTTTCATTACAGTTTTTTTTTTTTTTTTTTTTTTTTAATCATTTCACGCCAAGCAAGGCAATAAAGCCACTAAGATACAAGGAGTAACTTAATGCGAAAGAATATGAGAAAAAGAAAAATATTAAGTAGAGAGAACAATAAAAGAACAGAAATTAAGAAAACAGAAGATAACAATTGATATTGCATTTAAATTTTTGAAGATCAGATTTGATTGGAAATCAAGAAGCCGGAAAAGAGTTCCACATGCAAGAAGTGTGAGAGAAGAAACTGTTAGCATAGAACTTACGGTTACATCTAGCCATTTCATTTGTAAAATGATGATACCTAACTGCCAATATAATACTGTGCAAACACGAAGAAAATATTGTCAAAAAAATTTTTTTTCTTTTTTTTTTCTTTTTTCTTTTCTTTTTTCTTTTCTTTTTTCTTTTCTTTTTTCTTTTCTTCTTTCTTTTCTTCTTTCTTTTTCTTTTCTTTTTTTTTCTTTTTTTTCTTTTCTTCTTTCTTTTTTCTTCTTTCTTTTTTCTTCTTTTTTTTCTTCTTTCTTTTTTCTTTTTTCTTTTCTTTTTCTTTTTTCTTTTCTTTTTTCTTTTCTTTCTCTTTTTTTTTCTTTTTTCTTCTATTTTTCTTTTCTTTTTTCTTTTTTTTTCTTTCCTTTTTTTTCTTTTTTTTTCTCTTTTTCCTTTTCTTTTATTTTTTTCTTTTCTTTTTAACTACCTTTTAACTCTTTTCAGCAATGTTTATTGTTGAATTTATACATTTTTGTTCTTTTTTTTTGTTCTTGAGAATTTAAAACAAAAATATTAAACATTGTTAGATTGTTTATTTACACTATTATATTATTTGTCAGAATGGTTAGTAAAACTTCAGCTAATTGCCAATTAATTAAAACGTTATGAAATGGTAAATAATAAAGATTTCCTTATAGATTGCATATTTTAATAATTTAGTAAATGTCAATAAATTTATCAATAAAAAATTGTTTTCACATTTATTTCTTTAAAAATTAGTAAACAATAAATATTGCCATGTATTAGTTTTTTAGAATGCTGTATTTTATGACTCAACCTGTTGTCACTTTGGTTTTGCTTTTTGTATTTTAGACTTTGTAATTGCAGATACAACTATAGTAATGTTGTTGAATAATATTGGTGTCAGATACCTTCGAATAACACTCACGCCAATAGTACTTGCTTGATAATACTCGCTCGAAAAGTAACTACTGAATAGTGATCCGTATAGAGAAATAGTATAGTGAATAGAGTAGAGAAAGGTGGTTCATATAGCAGTAGAGGATAGACTAGAAATAGCGATCAATTAGACATCACGTGACTTCCTACTTATGTGTTTCCTCTATGGTCACATGGTTTACTTAATTCAATAATGTGATCGCTTCTGTTTGCTCGCTAGCGATCTATGTTCAAATTCAAGTGTCGGCAGTGACACTTTATTCCTATATAACAACCACAATTCTATGATGGAAGGGAGTGGTGACATTTCCTTTATGGTCACGTGGTCTACTTAATTCAATAATGGGATCGCCTGTGTTTGCTCACTGGTGATCTATGTTCAAACTCAAGTGTCGGTAGTGACACTTTATTCCTATATAACAACCACAATTCTATGATGGAAGGGAGTGGTGACATTTCCTTTATGGTCACGTGGTCTACTTAATTCAATAATGGGATCGCCTGTGTTTGCTCACTGGTGATCTATGTTCAAACTCAAGTGTCGGTAGTGACACTTTATTCCTATATAACAACCACAATTCTATGATGGAAGGGAGTGGTGACGTTTCCTTTATGGTCACGTGGTCTACTTAATTCAATAATGGGATCGCCTGTGTTTGCTCACTGGCATTCTGTGTTCAAATTCAAGTGTCGGCAGTGACACTTTATTCCTATATAACAACCACAATTCTATGATGGAAGGGAGTAGTGACGTTTCCTTTATGGTCACGTGGTCTACTTAATTCAATAATGGGATCGCCTGTGTTTGCTCAAATTCAAGTGTCGGCAGTGACACTTTATTCCTATATAACACTGTATTCTTGTAAATAAACAATTTCATAAATAGTGTTTAATATTTTCATTGTAAATTCTCAAGAACAAAAAATAAATTTATAAATTATTGAATAATTAGCTGTTTGGTGGCTGAGGGAAGGTCTCAATATAGATGACATGATGGCTAAATTTGCATAAGAACGGTGATGATTGGTCTTCAACAAATCCTAGCCAATCTGGTGTTGTAACATCTTTCACTGTCAGAACATGGTGGGCTCTGCTCATGCTGACATTTGGGAGTAGACTTCTTGGATTTTCAACTCTTCAGTTTTGGATTTTTGTTACACAATCAGTGTTGAATCAAGGACATTTTTTATTATCTCATTATGATCACAGATTTCTTGAGCTAAAACTTTTATTCACTGTTTATGATTACATATAGCTTCTTAATTCTTGTTCTCTTTCTCCTTAATAGTCTTAGTGGCTTTATTGCCTTGCTTGGGGTGAAATGATTTAAAAAAAAGATTGTTATAGCAAACACTAAACGCTTATATAAGAATAAACAGAGTACAAATGATTTTACTGTGGAAATAGATTGGAATTCATTTTGACAAAACTTTCCTCTTATGAATACTTTGAAAACATAAAAAAATGAAATCCTTTACAAAAATAATGGGACTGTTTTTACTGGAGAACTGCACTAGAGCCGGTTTTAATATGGATGTGCATTAGAATCAGTTTTCATATGTTCAAACTATGTTCACTATGTGGATGCATTGTACCCGTTTGTGACGCGTGGATGCATTGTACCCGTTTGTGACGCGTGGATGCATTGTACCCGTTTGTGACGCGTGGATGCATTGTACCCGTTTGTGACGCGTGGATGCATTGTACCCGTTTGTGACGCGTGGATGTATTGTATCCGATTGTGACATGTGGATGTATTGAGCCTGGTTGACATGTGCGAGCATGTGTCGATGCATTAGAACAAGTTCTCACATGTGGGTGCTTTGGAACCCTTTTTTACTGTGTGAGTGCATTGGAACCATTTTTTGTCATGTTGGGAATGCATTGAAACTGGTCTTACTCTAAAGTTACAATGGAAATGAATTTAAATCTAAATTTTCATTCATTAATGATATCAAGTGACACAACAAATACTAAAACAGGGGTCAGCAACCTTTTGGAAAGAGCAGGCTAGAAAGCTTTTCAGTGTCTTGGAGTAGGACCATATCAAATATGCTATAATAAATTGTTTTGATCTCAAACCGCTCCATCCAGAAGGCTACTTTGGTCTGGAGGTTTAAAGAAAACAATGAAAAGTTAATGTTATATTATTTAAACAAAGTTCCTTATTTTACTGCTAGAATAACAGGACAAAAACTAACAGAAGCAACCCAAAAACTACAAATGATATATAGTTGGAAATGGCAAATTATTTAATAAGACACTTGTTTCTGCTTATTGTTCAATAATTTCACCACATTAGTTGAAATACTTCTCGATGACAGGAGCAAAACATTGTATAGGTGGTCATCACCCAATCTTGTTCTTAAACAATTCTTGATATTTCATTTTCGGAAAAAGTTATTCATAAACACATGTACTTCCAAATAATATTACCATCATTTTTGCATTATTCAGTGGGATTTTATTTTCCACTTGGCAAAACATATTTCTTGCAGAAGTCATCAGTGGATTCATAATTAAATTTTTATTTAAAAATTTGTCGCATTGTTAGTCGATTAGCTCCAACTGATATTTTTCTGCCACTTGCTCCATAAATGAATTAGATAATTAGTATCCAGGAGTTAAGATGGTGGGCCAGACAAAAATCCTTTGTGGGACAGATACAGCCCGGGGGTTGCTGACCAGTGTCCTAATACATACATAAAAAGGATCTGACAATAAAAATGGATTAAAAATAAATGGATTTTCAGTGATTGGAAATTGAGGCCATAGGATTGCAAATAGAATAAGGTAATAAATAATGAATAATTAGTTTTGCCTTATGCAGAGAATGCATATTTTCTCTCTACATGATTTTATATTTTTTTATGTCTAGTGTTGTGGTGTCTGAATGGACAAAAATGCTTTCTCTAGTTGCTCTACACCTAAAGGAAGTAGGTCTGCGTTACCACTTGCTACAGGGGGATGTTCTTCCAAAGAAAAGAATGGAAATGGTAGAGGACTTTAATAAAAATCACAATGGAGCCGAGGTAAGAATCAAAAACTGTTTCCTTACCTGACATAGGCATGTATTTTTCAAATTTTTTCTTTTTATAAATATCTTTTTTCTTTTTAGAACTTAATCAAGGATGATCTTCTTTTGCAAATTTTACAATCAATTTGATTTTAACGATCTTCTAAAACTTCTTCATCTTTGAAAGTTGCTGTTTTAGGACAACAGCAGATAAATTTGCAATTATTAACCTAAAAATCAGCAAAAATTAGAAATTCATATGTGATGCATTGTAAATAAGGAAGAAAGGGATTGTCAGTGGTCAAGAATGAATGCAAACATTACTGATAGAATAGGGCTATTATATGTATAATGTAAATGCATTGCTAATGATTTTACTATAGGAATTCATTGCAAATAAGAAAGAAAGGGATTGTCAGTGGTCAGGAATGAATGCAAGCATTACTGATAGAATAGAGCTATTATATGTATAATGGAAATGCATTGCTAATGATTTTACTATAGGAATGCATTGCAACTGAAGAAAGGGATTGTCTGTGGTCAAGAATTCTATCATGACTTATGTAATTTCTCTTGCTTTTTGCCATCTTCAATTCTATTTTCTATCAATCATTAATTTAAAACTCAATTTGACAAACGTGTAGTGATTTTTTTAAAACACTTTTAATAAATTCCTCCCTTGCTCTTCTTGATTCTAAGAGAAACATGATGTAAATAAAATTTGATAATAAAATAACAGTTGCATCTATGCATTGAATATTTTATATTCACTTTTCATTCACTCTGTTAAAATTTATTTCAGGTGATGTTGCTCTCTCTGAAGGCAGGAGGTGTTGGACTTAATTTAATTGGAGGCAGTCATTTGTTTCTTATGGATAGCCATTGGTGAGTTGAACAGCCACACCCATTTATGCATAAATAATTTTTCAACATGTGTGTGTATATATATATATATATATATATATATATATATATATAGTAAAACCTTGAATTAATGGTCCAGGAACAAACAGACTCTGGATTTAACAGACAAAAATACAGAGAAATGGTAGTGTCCAGCTGGAACTCAAAATGCCCACACATAATGAACAAAGTCTGTTAGTTCCAGAATTGGCCACTGTTGTTTACTTGAGCGCTCATAATGTATGTAACATACACAGCATCTCTCTCTCTCTCTCTCTCTCACACTGTATGTGTAATTTATTTTAAGTAACTGTATAGTAACTTAAAAATAAAATACACATACATATACATATATACTGTACTAGCAGGAGAGCCCGGCGTTGCCCGGGGATGTAACAGTAAGAGATAGATCAAGTATCGACCATCATAAAGACTGAAAAATAAAATTGACAAAGATTATTGTTTAAGGTTGATGGATACGCATGTCTTAATTAGTTTTTTTGTTTTGTTTTGTTTTGTTTTTTTGGTTTTGTTTTTTTTTTACAAATTGGTCAAACCCAAACTCAAACAAAAACATTGTTTTCAATCGTTATGAGTCTACCGATTGAATAGAATTTTATTATAAACAATTGTCTTATAAATGGAATTTTAAAGCATTCTGAACGTAAAATAAAGAAAAAAAGTGTGCAAAAAAATAAGAAACACTACCTGCCAAAAAAAAAAAGTGAAGTTTTTGTGAAATCGGTTGGAAAAATGTAGGAAATCCGATCCCATATATAAACGAACACGCACACACACACACAACCTGGGTTTTATAATAAGTATAACTCGATATGAGTTGTCCCCCTTTCATTCTCGTGATGCCTCTTAATCATGTTTTCAAATTGATTTTGTGCAAAAACAATTGTTTTTTTCCAATTTTTGGTGCTGTCAGAACCACCACAAGGTAATTTTACATAGTCCTGTGAAGTTTTGTTGAAATTGGTTGAAAAATGTAGGAAATCCGATCCAATATATAAACGTACAGACACACACTCACACAATCTGCATTTTATAATAACAAAGATTTACATTTATTTACAATGATTTTGTATTGTACTGTGTGTTTTCAGACCACAAAAAAAATGCTTCAAATTAACGGACAAACAGCTTTAATGGACGACACTCCCCACTTTATATATAATTCAAAAATCAAACTTTTATCAAAAAACGATTAAATTAATGAAAAAGTGTTTGATAGAATTTTTCCTGCTACTGCAGTTTCTACCATTTAGGTATCACCAGGTAGTAAAATTGGATATGCTATCTGAAGACACTCTTATATCAATATAATCATGGTGCTGGTAAAGAAAGGAGAGAAAGAAAAAGTAAAGAGGTGGAAAAAAAGAAAAAAAATGACATATAAAAACTAAGAGACACATACACACACACACATTGTGTGTGTGTGTGTGTGTGTATGTGTCTTAGCTTTATTTGGCATAAGGCTTCAAGTTGGGATTCAACAGTTTCCTAACAATTACTGAATGAAATAACTATATACACGCGCACACACACACAGAGACGTAAAGAAAAGAAATGAACTTAGCACAAATAAAAAAGTGCTTAAATTATTTTTTAACTTTGTATAAAAATAATGAAAACAAGAAAATCAATTGCTGAAACCTCTTGGTGAGTGGACCAAACGATTACAAAAATGTTTATCTACAAAACTCTGGAGTTGAGGTGCTGAATATAACATCAATCTGCTAAGGGACAAATTTTATATCTGTATTAAACACACACACACACACACACACACACACACATATATATATATATATGAGGCATGGTGGATAGCAGATTGGATTGAGGAATCAGAGAGCCAAGCTTGAATTCCACTCAAATCCATTGCATTCACTTATGTGCGAAAATACCCTTGGGAAAGGTGTGAATCCTCTTCTTCTCCTTCCAACTATGGGTAAATAGCAGGACAAACTGGGTTCTATAGCCTTGGATGGCAACTAGTCTAGGAGGAGAACAACTCTGAATTCAAAACTACCTTTGGGCGGAGAGGAACCCAGACGAGGCTATGCCAAAGGGTAGAGTCTCGTATGGGGTGGTAGACAGCTACCAGACCCCGTTTTTATGTGGTCTATGGGGAATTTTAATTCAAGCCCACAGGCTCGGTTTTAACCTCGCATTAAAAACGGCCTTGTGCCACATCCTGCCTTACAGGGAGGTAAGATATATAACCTTGCTTTGGGAATTACTAGCTTGCTAATTGATTCCCTCTCTTTCAGTAGTGTATTCTCTTTTACAATAAACCTCTCCTCTTTTATCTATGCATGTGTTGCTGTTGCTTCACTTGAGTATCACCTTTGTGTGTTTGTAACCTCCTTTAAGGATACAACCATTTTCAAAACTCCATTGGGGAAAGGATATCATAAAATGCTCTGTAGAAAATTCAATCCTATTCTTCCTTCTTTTCTAAAGGAATCCTGCTTTAGAGGAACAGACTTGTGACCGTATCCATCGAGTGGGTCAGGAGAAAGACGTCAAAATTCACCGGTAAGTTTTTTTTTTTTTCTTTTGACATTCCATCATCTTTTTATGGCTTATGCAAAACCTGAAATCTTTTTATCTGAGTTTGACATTGACATGATTCAGGTTGAATGAATTTCCCTGCTGTAAAAAATTGTAACCTTTCTCAAAATCTTTTCTCTCATCTGTAAATTTGTGGTAAGAGACCTTACCAATTCAGCACAAAATTCATATTACAGTTAGGCCCTACTTAAATAGATTGGTCTACTCATTAAAGATAAGGAAAAGATTTTTCGGGAAATGATTTTTGTAGATTAGCAATAATTAAACCTTTTAAAAGCCACAATATGTGTCAGAATGAAGAAATATTGATGGCTTATCAATTTAGAAGGCAGGGACTACTTATAATATTAATACAGTGTAAAATCGATCCCTGACTTTTTACAGAGTTATTGAACTTAGTTGTTATTTACAGATTCAAGTTTAAAACTGCTTATATCATTAATAGATGGATTCTTTTAAAAAAATTCTGAATTTTTAAAACTTTTTGATGTGGGGTTATTTTTTTTTCATAAGAACATACACAAAGAGGCTTATGACCACATTGCGTTGAAATACTAGTTCTGAAGTTAAGCAATATCAAGCCTGGTTAGGACCTAAATGGGTAACTGCTTGGGAATACCAAGTGCTGTAAGTTTGGATGTACAGGTGGTGTAATGGATAATGACTCAGAATTGTAATTTGGCAAGCTGAGTTTCAATTTCAGTTGGTGTGTTATGTTCACTTACACACAAATACTCTTGTGAAAGGTACACCTCTTCTTCTCCCCCCAGATATGGGTTAATTAGTAAGACTTTTATCACTAAATCATTATTATCTCAAAAAATAAAACTGCATAAAAAGTATTTTGGTTTCAGTATTAAATAACTCACAGAAGTTGATAAACAATAGTCACTAAATAAAAACAACCAATCAACACATCCACAAATATTGTGTGACGATAATTATTTATCTTAAATAAAGAATAAACAAATATATATTTGATATGTCCTGGAAAGGGATATATTTGATTGAAGTAGCTAAGTGGTTTTGGCTACTGTAACCAAGTAGTACACAGTAGCAGTAATCGACTGTTACTCGTCGTAGTCGCAGGTAATAGGTGTAGACCAATAGGATAGCCAATGGCGTAGTCCACTGGGCGTCATCATAGACTTAAACTCTGTCGTACCTACATATCTGTCTGTATTTATGACGAACACCAGCCAATCATATTCCAGTGAGGGGGAACACAGGTGTATGCATATTCCATTATATCAATATTTTTATTAGTTTAGGTAAATTTTTGTTCTATAATTCAAAATGTATATATCCATTTGTTCATTATTTAAATGAAATCTGTTTCGTAAAAAAAATGTTTTCATACACAGAACAATTAAGTCTAATAATTCTGTAAAAAGTCAGGTTTCAGTTTTATACTGTACTGATATTATGAAAACAAAACCTCTTCTAAAATTATAAAAAAAAAAAAAAAAATGGATATTTTTCAATTTTGACAAATGTTGTGCCTTCAGAAACATGTACAGAATGATAATCTACAAAACTTATTTCCAAAGAATTTTTTCTTTATTTTTACAATTTAATTTGGACTAATTTACTTATGTAGTTGTATGTAATGCAGATTTTTATAAATACAAGACTAAATGATAAAAAGCTTCTCTGTAAGATTTGGTATTTATGTACTCTGGATTTTAAAAAGAGACAAAAAATGTTTGCCTGGTTTTAAGTGTAGAATAATAATAATTGAGACGAGTTATTCCCCTTAACCAAAAGAATTGTCTGATTGTCTGTCCTTGACACAATTTATATATAAAATTCTGTGACTTACGTTAGTCTGTCCGTCACACCCTCTAAAATAACCATATATTGACCAATCAAAACCAAATTAAAAAAAATATTGTTTACAATGAAGTCCTATAAAATAAATTATTAAACGCAGAAGTGGAGTTTTTGTCAAAGTATTTTTCCAAATCAGCTTATTCAAATTTCATCAATTCATTTGCAAAATTGAATGAAAAATAGAGTTTGTAAATCTCAACAATAAATGTTAGCAATAACTTCATCAATAATAAATACTGTGAGGAATTTCAACATGCGTCAGTGTGTTGCAAAAAAATTCTAGTGACTTTATAAAAGCAACTCTTTTTTCATTCTCCAGTAGGGAGAAAAGAAGTGGAACAAATAAATAAATGAAAACTTTTGGGATCAAGTGCCACTTGGCTGGAAGGTAGAGAGTTGCAGTCACAGGCTTATATAGTTAGTCTGCATAATGACGTCTGCAGTTACTAGTTGCTCACTGTTGGTAGAGGAGGCGTCAGAAAGTGATGCATCAATATAAAAATGGACAGGGAGTGGGTGATAAGAAAGCGTTGCAGTTCTTGCTGGCCAAAAGGAAGATCTGGTCTGTTATGAGAAAAGACAGGAGTAGCAGTGAAGTTACTGTCATCTGATGGTTGTGAGTTCAATCTCTCGTTCAGGCACAAACAATAACTGACATCATAGGTAGAAAATATTACATCTCATATCAGCCAAATAATGGACACTTAATGATGACCAGAGAGTCATTGGCTGAAATGTTGTATCTATAATAAAATCTATATTGATGAAGATGGGAACAATAGTTTGAAATAATTAAAATATATTTAACCATTTTAATATGTCATGTTTTTCTCTCTTTTTATACCATGTGTATCTCTAACATTAAATATGACCATAAAAACTTGTAAGGTACTCACAAATTCTGCCTTTCTTACATTCCCTTACTAAAAAAAAAAAAAAAAAGTGAGCAAATCTTAGCTATGCTCATAATAGGTTCCAAATTCAGTTGTTAAAAACAATAACTCCCCAGTGATAATGGAAAATTCTGTTTTGGAAGATTCTTTGCACCAGGGACAGTTAAACATATTTGTATCTTCACCTTGTAGAATGTTTTAAGTTTAAAAGAAATATTTTCATTATTCCACACATTTGACTTTAATTAACAAAAAAAACTAATTTCTTTTAACTGTCTGCTATCAATGTAAAACTGACAGGCCATAGTTTCCAGACCAAGCAATATGGAATGAAACTTCTGACCTATTAGCTGTTCATTGTACTTAGAAGCTAGTTAAGATTGTCATGTATTGATATTATAGGGACTGAAAAATCATTTCTTTTTTTTTCTGTAGGTTTATCTGTGAGAATACGATTGAAGAGAAAATTCTAGCTCTTCAAGACAAGAAAAGAACTTTGGCTAAGGATGTTCTTTCTGGGTAAGATTCTAAATATTTGCTTCTTGTATTTATTTTTCTTTCTTCTAATTGTGCTTTTAGAAACCAAGTTATCAGAATATTTCATTTGTGATGCTAAAACCAACTAAACTCTTATTAAAAGCCATAATCATTACCTGGCACCATAGGATTTATAAGAATATGCCACAAATTTAATGTCCTGTTTTTTTTTGTTTTTTTTTAGCGGGGCTGGTACTTCTTTTTTGAGTCCAAGAATTAGCAATTATTTTTGTATGGAATATGCAAGTCATCTTCAAATTGCCAAAGGTTATGACATGTCTACTTAAAATGTCAGTTCACTCTAAAGATTAGCAATTTTATTCAAGGTTAACGATTTACTTTTTTTGCTAAGTTAAAAAAGTAATAACAAATAAATAAAGAGAGAAAATAGTCAACTTGTAAAAAAAATAAAAATAAAAAAAAAAAAAAAGGAAAATAGGCCACTGATGATAAAAAAATAGAGAAAATTGCCCATTTGTTTAAAAAAAAAAAAAAAAAAGTCCACATGAAAAAAAAATTGCAAAAATATTCTACTCATGAAAAAATTTGAAAAATAGTCCACTTGTAAAAAAAATAAAAAAAAAATAGTCTACTCATAAAATATTAGTCCAAATGCAAAATAAAAAGAAATGTGGAAAATTGTCCACCCATAAAAAAAATAGGGAAAGTAGTCCATTTGTAAAAAAAAGAAAAAAGAAAATCGACCGTTTGTTAAAAAAAAAAAAAAAATAGTCCAAAAAAAAATTTGAAAATACTCTACTTGTGAAAACAAGAAATTGGGAAAAACTGTACACTTGTAAAAAAAATATAAGCAAAATAGTCTAATTGTAAAAAGTTAGTCCACAATCAAAATAAAAAGAAATGTGGAAAATAATCCACTCATGAAATAAAAGAAATAGGGAAAATTGTCTACTTGTATTAAAAAAAAAAAAAATTGGGGAAATTATCTACGTGTAAAAAATAAAAAATCTGGAAAATAGTCCACTGGTAAAAAAAAAAAAAAATTGAGAAAAACTGTGCACTTGTAAAAAAAATAAAAATAAAAAAAAAACTAAATGCAGAACATTGTCATCTCGTAAAAAAAAAATTAGGGAAAATAGTACGCTCACATAATAGGAAAATTTTTTGTGACTATTGTTTATTAGTATTATTTAAACTTTCAGAACAACAGAATTGAAAAATATTGATTCCAATTTCTAATGAATACTAATCAAAAGTTAGCCAGAAATAAAAGAAAAATTCCAAGTGAACCATTTCTGCTCAGTAGTAACAAAATCTCAAATATTTTATTGAGATTTTGGCAGATTTCCAAAGATGACTTCATTTTCATTTGTTTTTCCTTTTAATTCTTCAGGGATGGAATGAAAGCTTCACGTCTGGGATTAAATGATTTGCGTATGCTGTTTGACATCTAAGCTGTAACAATGAAACCTGGTTATTCTCTCGTAAGTCATTTGTCCCAGGCAGGGTTGTCTAAATCCTGTACAGGTACAAGGAAAAGAAGCTTTATATCTACATATGTGTAGATATGTACTGATGTATTTTATATTATCTATATAATATATATGTATAAATCATAATTTTCAACTGTAATCTTTGAAATTCTGCACAGAATTTATTAAAAAAACTTGTAAATATATTTGGAAAGTTATTGCTTTTGTTTCTGCTGGTTTTGAAATTTTTGATTTTACAAGAATAACTGCTAAACAGAAAGAAAATATTTATGTAAATTAGATTTTGAGTATATAACAATGAAGCTCATCAGTTCTGCAATAGTTTATTGCTTTGCCTTCATTCTCTCACCCTACCCAAGGCAAATTTGCTCATCCTGATGTTGCTTCATTAATTTAAATGCAGTAATAATTTTATTCTTAAAAAAAACATGTGCTTTTTAAACAGATTGGCAGGAAAGATGACTATTATATTTGGTTCTTGTACAAATGGTTTTACTAAGCAGCTTTTATCTTGGAAGCAAAATCCATTGCATATGAAAAATTAGTTTTAGACTAAAACACTAATGACTGTAATCCCTAAATAAAAAGTTTGGGGATCAATTCCAACAGTCTATTGTAAGCGTTCTGAAAGCAAAGGAAATGTTTGTCGCAGATTAATTCCACAACACACAGAACTAATCACTGTAAGTTCTGACTTGAATATCAGGGGTAGAAAGAAATGCCGAAAACTCAATTTGCAGGTACTATCTCACAAATCCCAATGCACGTAAACCGTCAGAAAAATAACTCACTCTCCAACAAACATGGTAGCCAAAATACATGAATTTTTCCTCCTCGATTCGAGAACACCAACTGCTTTTATCAGCTGAACATTTTTTTCATTCATCGGCAACTGGGAGAGGTAAGTCGTTGTTTTCTTAAATGAACTTGGGAATGTTGGTCAGAAAACAATAAAAAAAATGTTTCTATGAAAACATTCATTCAGGAAAAAAAGAAAACAAATCAAGAAGGCATTTATTTATTTTAATTCATTGGACTAATGGATAATGGCTAGAATTAAGGAATCAAAGAGCTGAGTTTGAATTCTAGTTGAGTTTGTTCTATTCGCTTATGTGCAAATACCCTTTGGAATGGTATGAATCCATCTCTTCTCCCACCAGCTATGGGTTCATTAGTAGAACTTGTATCAGTAAATCAATGTTATCTCCAAAAAATTCTTATCTAAAAATATTTTCTGGCTTTAAATAGACTGCAAAGCTCAATAAGCAGTAAAAAAAATAAATCAATCATTAATTAAAAAAAAAAAAAAAAGTTATTTACATTGTTTGAACTGTTGTGCTCATCTTTATTGTTATGTTCACAACATTTCGTTCGTTGTATGCTCTGGCCTTCTTCAGGTGATTGAAATTTTGAACTGAACCCTTTATTTCATCCACCAGGGTAGATTGTTTAAACTAAACTGTTTTCCTCATCTTTATTCAAACAATGTAAATAATTACAATACCTCATCTCAGAAATATAAACAGATGTAAAAGGAGATATTATTTACATTCCAACTAATATCTTCATCTTAAAGTTATTGTCGCAACATTTCCAACATTGTGCTTTTCAGCTTACTTAAGGTGTTGGCCAATCTGGGTAACCCTCTAGGAATTTCAAAATGAGCCCTTTATTTAATATATGAGGGTAGTTTTTTTTTCTTCATTCAACTGCCCATGTCTAGGTATAGTTCATCTCAATTCAATTCAAGAACGAACCCAGTAATCCACTTGGCTATTGTTTCGCAATAGGGTAGAGATTGGATAAGCTAGTGAATCGATTAATTAGAAGATCACTTTAATCATTTCGGCTGTTGTCCTGTAAATTTAAATAACAAAAAGAAAAGAAATAAAATGAGATATCCCTAGACATAGCAAAACGGGGACAATTTTCAATTCCCTAAACTTTACATAAATCATCTTGGTCTAGATCTGCCTTGTATATAAAACAGATCACTGCATTCACTTGTCTGACCTTGCTTTTGTGTGTAGACGTAATTTGTAAACTTTTTTCCTTATCTGTAAATTTGCTTTGCATATATTGTTTGCTTGCTTGTTTGATATTTTTTCATTTTTGCCCCTTTTTTCTTTTTATTGCAAACTTTGTTAATTCTGTTTGTGCAACAGTTCTGTTATTTATTTTGCATTTTGACCGCAACTCCTCACAAGTTTTTAATAAAAAGATATTTTTATTTTGGCTGAAACTAATTAATTAATAGAATATGTTCTAATAATGTGACTGCTATAATTTGTGTTTCTTTTGTTCATTTCACTAAATCTTAATTTATAAAAAGTTTAGAAATCTTTCTTCACAAACACTACATCCTTATCTATGTGACGATCCTGAACTTTTGGCTGTTGTGATCTCCAGCCTTCTTCACATGCCTGCTGATTCAGGTAACCTATAGAGTATTTCAAACTGAAATTTAATTTTATTTAATCTATAGGAGTATACTTATCTCCTTCCACTGTCCAGATCTTGCCCTTATTTAATGTTCAGTTATTGATCACTTTGTTTCCACTGAGGCTAATTCTGTCCAGTCACCATGAAACAATGGCCTAAGGGAACAAAGTGTTACTCAGTGGATAGTTATTTTATTCTTCAAGCGTCAGCCACTGTTGCATAAATTGAGATTACCTTCCTTGATTTGGGATTGTCTTCCAAGCTAAAGGTGTGCAACCTACAGCATGCAATTTCCAATGGACCACAGCCCCAAATGACAAGGCAAAGTCCAAACCAATAACTACTACAATGCAAAGAAGATATTTAGCTGTTTCAATTTTTATACTTAAGTATATATACTATATAAAATATATAGTAGAATAAGTATATTGACCTTGATTTGTATGAAAATACATATGCTGTTGGCACACTGAATGATTTTAAAACCTTAATTCGGCACATGTTCTAAACTGTCAGATTAAAATTGTCTCTATGAAGAAATATTCTATACTTTTATTTCTATTGGAATCTCCTCCATCACCATTTTTTTTTTTTTGGAACAGGAGTAGAGGTTTATCCTTTCTTTCCTGTTTAGAATTTGGTTTCTAGTTCCTTCAACTCTGTATTTCTGACATCTCCACCTAAAATTTTATTCAGTAATAATTTTTTTTTCTCTCCCAATAGGAGTAGAGAGATCTGCCTATCATCCAGTTCAGACGCTTTTTCAATCTTTTGGACAGGAGTAGAGGTCTGTTCCTTGTTTCCAGTCCCTTCTAAGGTTTACCTCAACTCTATACTTCTAATGTCTCCACCTGAACTCTGAAATTTTAAAAATTAAATCTTGACTTATTCATGTCTAGAATTAGCTGTCTATCTTTCCTGTTATCTTGGCCTTTCTTAGACTAAAAACAACTCCACACATTAACCCTCTACCTTGAGTGGGCCTTGAGCCTTGTATTGGGTGAACATTAGTGAAAAGAAAAAAAGAAACTTCTTCTTTAATACTAAATCATGGCTTAATTATATCTGGCCAAGGAAGTTTTTCAGGTGTTAAAATATATAAATTAATTATAATTTTGAATCTCTGTTCAACTGCTGTCGGGTGTTGGCCCGATGGAAATTTTGTGCTAATCTTGGGACACATGATTGATTGAGTTGTTTTTTATGGCTTATCAACCCTTTACATACAGGTTATTTAAAGCCAGAAAATATTTTTAGATTGTAAGAATTTCTTTTTTTTTTTTTTTTAAGATAATAATGATTTAGTGATACAAGTCTTACTAATTAATCCATAGCTGGGTCGGGGGAGATGGAGTGGATTCATGCCTCTCGCCCCACTGGTGGTGGTTGCAGGTATCACCTCCACCTGTCTAACGCTTTCCTTCTCTTATTTATTTATGCCTTGTTCTTTTCTTTTTTTTTTTGTCTCTCATGCAAAAAAATAAAAAAAAGATTCAATCCATGTATTTAGATTTATATATTTTATTAAATAACAAAGATGAAAATAATTTAGTAAAAAAAAAAAAAAAAGATCATTTACAAAAAGTTGAGCAGTTTCATGAGAATTTCATATATCAGTTGATTGAAAAATGAAAAACACAAAAGTAAAAAACCCCATTTTAATGTATTCAATGTCCATTTTAAAAAAATATTGAGCCAGAAATTTACAAATTTAAAAAAAATAAAAATTATCACCCATTTATTCACCCCAAGATTTCCCGTTTATTAAATTTCCTTTTTTTGTTGTCGTCATCGTCTTCTCAGCAGTTTTTCCTCATTGAAAGATTTTCCTGATTCAAATGTCCATTTAAAAGGAGATCATTATTTGTTTTCAGTGGTTTTCAATAAAAAGTTATCAAAATCTGCCAAGCCAAAAGGTGAAGTTCCCACAGCCACAAATCCAGGTTTCATTACAATCAACGAACTATTAACATTAAACACCATTTCGTGATTAACTACACCAATCAAGACATTATCCTGCAAGTAAAAAGAATAAAAAAAAATACACAGATCACAATATATATATATCTTTTTTTTTTTTAAATTGGTATTACCCCCTGCAAGGCAGTAAAGCCATTAAGACACAAGGGGTTACTGGGTGTGGAAGAATTAGGAACAGAAACATTAATAATGAGCGGGAAGAGGAAAGAGTAATCAGGAGGACAGTAGATAGCGATTGACATTGCATTTAAATATTTGAAGATTAAAGTTGGCTGGAAAACATGGAGCCAGAACTGTTTACCTATTGTTAGTTGACCTCAAAAACTTTCATTTACACTTCCATTCCCTTTAGGTCGAGAAAGTACCACTTGAGATCGGAATGGTATCAACCATTCCTCTTCAATGTGGATGTCCGATTCAAAGCGTTAGATATGAATAATTTGGGAATTAACAAGAGTTGCAATTAATAAAAATGAAATCATTCCAGTTAACAAAAGATTACTTATAATAAAAACAAAGACAACAATGAACAGATGACACATTAGAATATGCACAGACCCACTACAAAACTTTTTTGTTTTTGTAGTGAGTATGTGCATGTTCTAATGTAACACTGCATTTTATATATATATGTGTGTGTGTGTGTGTTTATATGTTTTGTGATTAGTATTTTTTTTTTTTTTTTTTTAACCATTGACCAACCTGTAAAACTGATGAAGTTGTCCAGGCAAAAATGTCTGCAATTTAAATGCGATTCTTGGTTCTAGGAAGATTTGCCTCAGGAGTTTTGCCCGTAGAAAACTTTACCATAAAACAATTTTGCTGCATTCTTTTTAATATGCGAAGTACCTTGTTATCAAATATATCTGGCTCACACTATTGTTACTTAATTTTAATTAGCAAAGTTATAGGATCAAAATCCCACATCATTCATCCTCGTCAGTGAGGAGCACAAAAATTTCAACTTGACGCCAGAATCTATCACACAATTTCATATTTCAGAATTAACATTAAACTTTCTGTTAACATAATATCAGTCTGCCAATTATTCTCACTCAAGCGATATTATTTCAAACAAACAATTACAAATTGATTATGCAACCAACTTCAATATAAAATATCTGATCAAAGATAGATAACCTTTTCAAACTCTCAGTATGTCTTTTGAAATTTACACAAATTATTTGCAAACTATTTTAAATTCACTATAAATATCTAAATATATTTTCTTATATTTGAACAGACATTATAACAATACACCACCTTTTGATCCAAAATTCATCAAATACAAAAACATTTAAACAATTTAAAATACCACCTTGTTATATAATTAAAATACCCAATTTGAATACTCAAAGAAGTAGAATTATATCTTAAATTCTTTAAAATTTCTTTATTCATTCAACATTTTTTGTGCAGCCAACCTGTAAGAATGATCTATCAAATAGAAAGTGGCAGAGGTCATGTGAAATTAGTTGACGATTTTAACTTTCTTTACAGAATAAATAGAAGATACAGTGAAAAAAAAAAAAAAAACATTGGAAATGTGAATGTAAAGTTAGAATGCATACCATGCTAGAAAAATGATAATTTATCTACGTAAAACATTTGCTGAGCTTTACTATCCATCAAAACAAAAAATGTATGAAGCAAAAATAAAATTGAAATTACTGTCCACTAAGTCACAAACTTCTACATGGTCATTAATTACAGAAATTTCATCTACTTCAGATGATAATGTATAGTCTTTGCTAACGACTTCATTGCATTTGTCTCACAGTATTAGATGTTGGAGGCAAAAGAAAAGCCAAGCTCCCCAGGTCTCAACTAAAAGAACTGGGTATACAATACCTGAAGTATATAGATTCCTTGAAAATGGTGAGAACTTTTTATTGTATGATAGTGGTGAAAACGATCCAGATAGAATTTTAGTGTTTGGCACTCAAGCCGAGTTAGCCATCCTGTATATGATGATAAACTACTTCCAACAACAAGGCCTCTGATCAGGAGGTTTTGAGGAGATTAGAACCACCTCTTAATTGCTGGCATTCCCAGGTCCACCCTGACCTGGGGTGGTAGCACCTGTTAGGGTCCCAGCTATGGGCAAATAGTTAACACCCAAATTTGTCTAAAAATAGATTTTAATACTTTGAAAAAAAAAAAAAAAAAAAAATTACCAGCAATAATTCTTGAAGGAAAAATTATCAGCAATACTTAAAAAAAATACCAGCAATACAAACAGCTATACATTCTTTGGAAAAAATATGGCCAGCTATAGATTTATTCAAGGAAAAATATTCCCAGAAATAGATTTTTGAAGAAAAACATTACCAGCAATAAAAAATTTGTCGGCATTAAATAACTCATTGAGGTTGATATGGCATAAAACAAAATAAACCAAACCAATCTAAACCAAAGAATACATATTCTATTCAAACGAATCTATCCTAAAAATGTTGTCGGCATTAAATAACCTATTGAGGTTGATATGCCGTAAAACAAAAACCAAACCAAAATCAAGCTGGGTTAGAGGACCTTGCTAATAATAAAGATTGGGCTTGTGATGGCACTTTTAAATGTCACCCAGATATATATTATCAGTTATTCACCTTACATATAATCATAAGACATAATTAGTGTACAACGTCTTTTTGTTTTGCTACCTAGTAAATCACAAGTAACCTACAGCAAACTTTTTAGCGCCTTGAAGTACTTACGCCCCCACCCCCAAAACTTTAATGGTTGATTGCAAGAAAACAATTATCAATGCTATAAAAAAATATATCTGTGATATATTTCCAACAACAAATATAACAGGTTTATTTTATATGGCCAAGAATATCTATCATCATATTGTGGCTATAAGTTTAAAGTGATGCTATTTTACGGATGCAGAATTTAACAGCCAAATCAAATGCTTCATTGCATTAGCATTTCTGCCAGTTTGTGATGTTATTAATGGTTTTCTTGAACTGACTGACGAGGATGATGATTTGCCCTAAGAATTTGTATCATATTTTGAAATTCACTATATCGAAGGAGAACGAGGTCGAGGTGAACAAAGACGAAGAATGCAGCCAACTTTTCCTATTGAATTGTAGAATTTCTTTGAATGAACCCAAAATGGTATGATCAGAACCAACAACATTGTTAGAATGCTTCCAAAATGCAGTACAGAACTCCATGACGAATATGTACCCAAATTTGTGGAAACTAACTGCATATTTGGAAAAGGAAGAGACATTAACAAAAAAGAAAAAGTGTGATTTAGATCGAGGAGATGCAGTCGAAATAAAGAAAATCAATGCAAGACTTCAACAGAAAAAGCTTCATTACAGTCCAATGCAATAAATATGTGTGTGTGTGTGTGTGTGTGTGTGTGTGTATATATATATATATATTCATGAATTATTCACACAAAAACAAATGCAAAGGTTAATGATTTAATTGGCGAGAAATCAATCGTCGCAAACAATTCAAATAATATACAAAAAAAAATATAGTTCATGCCACTTTGACAGAAAATTTACCAGTAAAAAATTCGTTCATCACCATATTTGTACATGAACGCACAACTTTAAAAAATTTAAAATCAAACTCAGCATTGCTACTGCGCGCTCCAAAAACAATAACTCATTTCCAATAGCATTTTAGGATACAACAATACATATATTTTCGATGTCCTCTTATTACTAAGAGAAAAAACAAGAACAACATCTATTCCATACCTGAAGATGTCTGTAGGAACAGACGAAAGCTTGTAGTAAAAATAAGAACTAATACGGCAGAAATTTATAGAAACAAGGATCTTTTCATTCATAATGGATTCAGAGGTTTTTGTATATTATTTGAATTGTTTTCGACGATGGATTTCTCGCCAGTTAAATCATTAACCTTTGCATTTGTTTTTGTGTGAATAATTCATGGATTTGTAAATTGATTGCACGTTTATCGTAATATATATATAGATAGATAGATAGATATCAGTGCAAGACTTCAGAGGAAAATGCTTCATTACAGTCCAACGCAAGAAAAACATTATTTATGAAGCATTGCTTGGAATTTGCAACGTTTTAAATTATTTCTTTGTTAATTTGATATATTTTTAGTCTTATTTTTTTAAATAAATGTTTATTTTTTTAATTTCTTTTCTGATGTTTGACCCTGTAAAAAAGACATCCATATATACTTGATATGAAGGTACTTTGCATATTAAATTGAACATTACTCCAAAAGGAATGCATTAAAAAAAAAAGCGGCAAAATTGTCTTACGGCAAAAAATGTCTTATGGAGACTGTTCTGGATACAGCAATTCTTCATGTACAACTTAAAAGTTTTACAAATTGGTTAAGTTTACAAAGGCAGACAAGAAAACACTAACACGCCCACACACTCTTTTATTGTTTCAAATTCGGTGGGGAGGGAGAACAATTTCTTTTGCTGATATGAAAACCAAGAAAATGAAGGTAGAAAAATTGGCCATTAAAATGTTGTCCTTTGACACCCAAGATATTATGGCTAAATGTCAAATCATGACGTCTCAAGCCAATTGAAAACAGATAATGTACAAATTCAGACAACTTAAGACTTACTACTCGGTGGAAAAGCAAAAAGAAATATTAATGAAAAACTGTCAATGCTTCATGTACAAGCTGTAGACAATAGCCCCCCACCCCCAAAAAAAAGAATAAATATTTTGTTTTTCTACTTACTTTTGTAAAAAATGATATCTGGTTCCATCCAGGCTTTGCGGAGGGCACTATTCCTTTCTTAATTATTTTTGACTGGGCTGAAAAGTAGAAAATAATTTGTTTCCCTTGTTAAGAATCAAATATTTAACTAAAACTTAAAATGGATTTTAATTTGTTTAAAAAATGAACTGCAAATTACTTTCAAATAATTAATTACCAAAAATAAATTCAAGAAAATAATTTTCTCTTGGAACATGTTATTTATTCTCTCTCATATCTAGCTATCTTTTTTCTTTTGTTTTTTTCTAAATTGGTATCATTCCTCACCCCCTCCTTGAGCAAAGCCGTAATGCCACCAAAAGACAAGGTTTTACAGGGTGTGAAAGAATTACGAACAGAAACAATAATGATGAGCAGAAAGAGAAGAGTAATTAAGAGGAGAGTAGATATCAACTGACATTGCGTCTAAACTTTTGTAGATTAAAGTTGGCTGGAAAGCATGGAGTCTTTCCACCCAACTTTATCTCTCTCTCATTTTATATATACAGTGTAACCCGGATATAAGAGAGTTGTTGGGACTGGAGAAGAAGTCTCTTATATCCGGGTTTCTCTTATATCCGGGTTTGGTCTAATTTATATACATTAACACAGGCTCTAATTTGGGACCAGAGAAAATCTCTCTTATATCCGGGTTACACTGTATGAAGGAAAGAAGACAATAAAAGAACAAGAATTAAGAAGACAGAAGATAACGATTGACATTGCATTTCAATTTTGGAAGATCAAAGGCAATAAAGATACTAAGACGCAAGGGATTACTGAGTGTTAGGGAATATGAGAAAAACTACTACAGTGTAACCCAGATATAAGAGAGTTGTCGGGACTGGAGAAGAAGTCTCTTATATCCGGGTTTCTCTTATATCCAGGTTTTGGTCTATTTTATATACATTAACACAGGCTCTAATTTGGGACCAGAGAAAATCTCTCTTATATCTGGGTTACACTGTGTATGTATGTATATATATATATATATATATATATATATATATATATATATATATATATATTCCTCAAAAAGAACTGACTAGGTACGGTGATTTTTTTTTAAAATTCTTTTCTGGGCATAAATTCTGTAGAAATTGTGTGAATGTTTTGTATGCCCATATGCTTTTGGCTCTACTTTTAGCCATAATCAGGAATGATTTTATTTTTAATGAATACATGAATCGTTTTCTATATGTATCTAGAGTTATATGTTTTATTTTCCAAACACAGCACATTGTGGCTGTGTTCATTATTGACACATGGAGACCTACCAAACTCCATCTGCAACATACGAGTTGATAATACTATAATAGCCTCATCCACATGTGAAAAAAAAAAAAAAAAAACTGCTAACAATAATGGCAGCATTATTAATAAAGAAAAAGGAAACAGTCAATAATGCAGAACATTTGGACAATTTCTCCATAATTTCTGTCCAGAAAAGAAGAAACTTAAACAAGACAAGAAAAATTAAATAAAAAAAAAATTTCACCTTTGTCAGTCATTTTTAATGAAACTTTTATGAAAGAGGGATTGCTGCCCAAATATAATTTGATTATATATATATATATATATATATATATATATATATATATATATATATATATATATATAAAGAAAATATAGTCATAAGGTGTGCTATATTTATGGGATAAAGTGCTCAATATCAGAGATAGAGCGTGTGTAAATATAAAAGTGAACATTGAAATCAACACTTAGAGGCGACAGCCTATTTCATGCTAGATGCAATCGTCAGGTGGCCTGACGATTGCATCTAGCATGAAACAGCCTGTCGTCTCTGAGTGTTGATTTCAATGTTCACTTTTATATATATATATATGTGTGTGTGTGTTTTTAAAGTCTCCTCGCAGACTTTGGCAGCTACAATTCTCATTCTTCTGTCCATTTACCAATGAAAAGCTTCCATTAACAAAAAGCTTCATATTGAAACTATCAAACAAATGATCCTTAGACTGATACATTATGGCTGAATCTTTTTTTTTTAAATTCAGGTTGGAGGCAATCATGGCTCAGATTCATTTTCTTTCTTAATTGGGAATTGCCATTCCTTCTTGGGAAAGATGGTGGAGTGCTTTCCCATTGCTTACTCCATGGAATTCAGAGTTGTCTTTCTCTTGGGTTGTGTGAATGCTTTGATAAACCACTCTCCCATAGTATACCCTTCCAGCCAAAGCAGTTGTAGCCAAAAAAAAAAAAAAAAAAAAAAAAAACAGTTACTCTCATTGTCTATCTTGACAG